CCAGGAGCCCCTAGTAGCGTCCTTGCTCCTAGTAGCGATGCCAGGAGGCCCTAGTAGCGTCCTTGCTCCTAGTAGGGATGCCAGGAGCCCCTCGTAGCGTCCTTGCTCCTAGTAGCGATGCCAGGAGCCCCTAATAGCGTCTTTACTGAAGAAAGTGAGTGAGCCAGCCTGTACAAATTGTTTTCAGAAGGTGTGCTCAAACGGATATGTTTGATGTCCTTCAGGTGAGCAACAACGTGATCACCTGCACGTTCGCAAATGCTAACACATTGCCACATTGCATTGTTCGAGCTCGCAAACCCCAATTCCAAGAACCGATCGGTGAGCAAAAGCCAAGAGGTTTTTTGAAAACCGCAGCACGGCATCGTCTTTTGTTAAGAATTGCTGCGACAAATCGCTCTCAGTCCACAACCACGCCTTAGCAGTTCGCGGGGCATATGATGAAATGAATTTGAACACTGAAGCAACGTCGAGGAATTAAACTGACACAGTTACATAAATATGCTGCCGAGGAGCTTTCGCGTTTCCTCTCTGTCTGCTCTTCTCTTCGCTTTTCCTCTGCCTCTTTTTGGCGCTCTGCCTCAGCCTTGACGGTTGGCAAGCCTGCAGCGAATTTGGCCAAGTCTTCGGGGCTCATGGTGGAAAGCTTCTGCGAGAGCTTTTGAAGCTGCTCCTCAGACATCTTATCACCCATGCGTTCTCTGAGCTCTTCCACACTCAGTGAACGCACCCGCTCCAAAGAAGCATTGAGAGGTGACTTTACTCTTTGATCCAGCAGCTCCTCTGCTTCTTCAGTTTTGGCCTCATCTTCAACAGGCTTGGCATCATGCTCCTGTTTTTGAGCAGCCATGGCTAGAGCTTTCAGTGCATCTCGTGCTTTTTTGACTTGCGCTTCAGCAATCCGGTCTTCTCGAACCTTCTCAAAGCGTGCTTCATCTTCAACTGTCGTCAGCTTGCCAACAGCACCTGCTTCAACAAGTTTGGCAATGACTGGGCGAACTTCATCTGCCACCTTCTCCTGCGACAGATTCACTCGGGCCACATCCAAGCATGTCTGGCCATCCTCATTTGTGGCCTCCAAGAGGTCCTTGAGCCCCTTGTCGAGCAAGAGAGGCAAAAACTCCACTCGCCCATAGCCGGAGGCGTAATGCAACAAGGTGTTGCCACGCTTGTCCTTCGCCCGTGGGTCAGCACCGAGCTCAAAGAGCCTGTCCAGCAGTGTGGGATTGTTCAGGGCCAAAGTGTACATGCTGGCAGGGATTCCTCAGGGTGCAGGCAAGCACAAAGACTGAACAGGACTGCTTGATGCTTGGCCTAAGACTGTAAGAAAGAATGGAATTTCGTATTGCTTGACTACCACTATACAGCTGTCACTGGCTCCGTCACTAGCTCCTTTGTCATCCAGCTCGTCGATCTTGCGGCCGTTCTCCAACAAGGTGGGGATGTAGTCAGCACGATTCGCAAAAACTGCTTCTGGCACACTTTGTGGGTCCTGCTCAGCCTCAGCTGTGAGGCGCTTCACCCCAAAGGCTTTTTCCAAGACTTTCTCTCCATCAACTCCCTCCGGCCACTCTCCCGTCTTGACAAATTCCTCGTAGCCTGGAATCTGCGAGGAGATCTGATTCTTTGTGTAGCTGGTGAGTGCAAAGGATGAAGCAATGTTCGTAGCAATGTAGATGCCCATTGCCTGTGGGAGCTCAATGGTAATAAAACTCAAGAGGAAGGGTGTGAATTGCAAGAGTGCCGGGGCATTCTCATCCTCAAGGGCCTCAGACATCACAGAGCGGTATGACGCGAAGACGGCCAGAGGCAGGATGGCATAAATGCCGAATTCGCTCCAGCCAATCTTGGGGTGCAGGTTGATGAGCGGGCCCTCCCATTGCATGATCCAGTCAAAGCTTGGATCAGCCTTGAAGTTGGGCCCATACAGAGAAGGAATCCACAAGAATCCTTCCTTCAAATGGGGGTACTCAACGATTGCAAGGCGGCGAATAGCCCGATACAAGCCCCAGAAGACTGGCAGCTGAAGCAATAGCGGGAAGACGGCACCAAGCGGGTCCACTTGCAAATCCATGTAAAGGAGCCCCACTTCTTGTTGGAGTCGCTCCTCATCGTCCTTGTACTTTTCTCGGAGCTCATTGACCCGAGGCGCCAAGACCTGGATCTTGGCCGTTGTCTCCAACTGTCCCTTGACAAATGGGTACAGCAAAGTTCGAATGAGCAACGTGTAGGTGGCCACTGCAAAACCAAAAGACTGTGGAATTCCGAGGCCAGAGATTGCCTCATCCAAGCGCTTGATGAGCGTGGCCTGGAAAGCCACAAATTGCGTCCAAAGGTTGTCTGGCAGGGGATTTCCCTGGGGATCCAAGAGCACATTGCCATTCTCATCCCATTGCAGCCGCGGATCAAAGAAGAAACTCGCAAGTCCTTCCATCGGGTTCGTGCCAGACTCTGCTGCCTCCGCCAAGTCGGAAGCAGCTGCTGGCTGAACGGGCCCCAAGAGCGACATCAGGTGTCCCATCGCCTCTGTGGCAGTCTGAGATGCCGCATGCATCGCCTTCACAGCAATGTCAGGATCATCCACCAGCAACTGAGCCATGGCACCAATGTCTCCTGACTCGACAGCACGACGTGCCACACGGCAAGGGCGTGTCATAGTCTTCAATGGATAAGTCGGACCTTAATGTGAATCACATGGCGAGTAGAACGTGCCTGTCTTTGAAAGAAATTACAGCTGCCAAACCCTAAGGGCACAGACTTGAAGCTGCTCTGGTCTTGCGACACTTCACAGCCGCAGCTCCACCGGCTGCCACGGACGCAGCACTTAAAAACCTGGGCCGGAAAAAGAAAAAAGGTGACTAAGGTGACCAGTGTTGGTGCTCACTATTTCCCTATGTGTCCTGAAGAACTGCAGTCAGACTCAGCCATGTGCGTCCATGCGTTCAGGCCAGCTTGACGGGATTCTTGCCCTGTTCCTGTGCAAGGTCACGTTTCCACAGCTGCATCTGCTACCTGCTATATGTTCAAAACTCCTGGCCTCTGAGTGACCGGGACAAAGGATTCTCAATGTCTTCACCCGGAGTCACGGGCAATCGGGCTGCGGTGAAGGCCGGGGTGGAGAGCTGAGAGATGGCCACCGCTCCACCACAACCCAGCAGAGGCAAATATGTGCGAGGTTTGCGTCCTCAGATGCCAGAAAATCGTCAAAGTCGTGGGTTGTTTGATGCTATTTGCAATCTTCTCTCTTGCTGCCACATGTGATTGCACATGACATCATGGAGCAACCTCTCTGCGGCTTTGGATCCAGAGCTGGTGCAAAAAGTGGAAGGCATTGTGGGACAGCAACTGTTGTTTAAAAATCAGTTGTCTAGCAGTCAGCTGCTAATGCCACGCGGCAGTTGACAGCAGCAAACCTTTTGAGAGTGCCTCCCCTTCTGAGCCAAAACAGCATTGAACGGAATTATTTATCAAATCGTGCCCCCCCCAAAAAAAAAGATGGCAGCCGACTTCACATCAGACTGGGACGTCTTGGAAAGCTGATCAGGCTGTCCACCAGTAGACTGTTCTTACGACCAGCAGGCTGCTGTTACGAGCTGCGCCTGTTTCATGGTCTCCTCTCTTGATCACCGACGAGATGCCTTCTAACGCCAAGGCGCGAACATCCTGATCAGGATCTCCAACCCTGGCCGGGGAGAGATTGGCAGGTCATGACAATCGTGACATCAATCACCAGATCTAGTTTTACAAACACTCATAGAATACAGGGTTTATGGCTGACGGGTTTTTTCCATGGCAAGGGTTCATACATGCATGTGTCTTGTGAAACTGTTTCCATGCGTTTCTGAATCATCCACAACGATATCTGCACCTGCACCCCTTTTGCTGGAGATGTTGCGAAAAAGGATGCTTGTTGAGGTCACAGGGGGTTGCATTGCCACATGGCCCCATGCTGGGTGGAAAAAACAAGGGTGTTGGTCTAAAGTCTAAAAAGTCTAAAGACTGCCAATGATTCATAAAGTGATGACAGCTCTAATCCTTGCTGCTGGCGATGTCTTTGCAAATTTCCAGCATTGCAAAAACTGTAGCCCACTAGATTTTGTACCGCTGCGCCTTGCTGCGAAGTGGCGCGGAAGTTTTTCATAGCAAGCACTCACCTCTCACGCCATTTTTTTTTGAAAACTCCAACCGGGGCAACGCTCAGGACATTAGTCATTAGTCACAATATGACACATGCGTGTGACGGCGCCAAGTCCAGCCTCTTGAGGATCAGCTCGGGCATAAACCAGTAAGGCGATCCGAATCATCGCTTCAAGACCTTCATAGCGCAATGTCGGGTTGACATCACGGAGCAAAGGCTCAAGGCCTAAGCAACAAGCATCCACTGGTTCCAGCACAAAATGTTCAAGCACACAACGGCCAATTGCAATTATTCACCTGCTTGTTGAAATTCTTCGCTTACATCTGAGCTGGCGTCGTTCCAAAGCGGCAATTGCATCACCTTGCTGAGCAGCTTGCACCAGGGTCTCCCATGTGGCTGTCATCCACCGCCGTGGTTGCAAATTAGAAGAAAATAACGTTCATGTTCACTACGCATGTTTGCCGAACCCCCACCCAACAAAAAATAATCATTGTTTCACTTTTGCCAAACGACTTTGTTGGTGTCTGGTTCAAAGAGTTCAATATCCTGCGGAAATTTGAGCAATGCATCGTGATTGTATTGGGCACCTCGTGCAAAACTCAAGCTTTGAGAATCTGGTTTGCCAGCGCATGTTGTATTAGCACCCGTGCATTCATACATCTGCAGGTGTTGGGGCCGACAACTAGGCCCAAATTTTAACAACCAACGTTTGTGTTTCCGACCTGGGTGCATTTGCACTCCGCACTGGACCACTCACCCACTCACCCACCCACCCACTCACCCACCCATCCACCCACCCAGTCACTCCACCCCTTCTCTCCCTCTCTCTCCCTCTCTCTCCCTCTCTCTCCCTCTCTCTCTCTCTCTCTCTCTCTCTCTCTCTCTTTCTCTCTTTCTCTCTTTCTCTCTTTCTCTCTTTCTCTCT